TCCTCTTTGCGTCTTTTTTCTCCGACAGGACCATAGCGGAGAAACCGCTCTAATGCAGCATAGAATGACCAGTGGAAGCCTAGCCGGCCGCCATCGCCGAGCTGGCTACGGACAGCGCGCTTCTCAATGATGTGACCAAAAAGACGGACATTCGCGTAGAGGGTCGATATGTGGGTTGTGAGACATGGTACCGACAGCCATGTTAGAAAGATAATCAAGTCATCCTTGACTGAAATGTCAAGGATATAGTCGACTTTCATGCGTCCAAGAACCACCCGAGTCTCAGTTGAAATTTGATGATTTGTGAGAAGCAGAGACAGACAGCTTGAAGAGCTAGCCACGCTCTGCTGCGTATAATAAGGCTGGCTACCTCTTCCAACCCATGCCTTGTACCTAAGATCGTTGTACTCGATTCCATCGGACTGAAGCGAAGTCACAGGCGGGCTGAGCGGCGTATAGAGCACATGTCCAATGATGAGCGCTCGGAGCTCAAACGGGATTTTAAGAAACGGACACATGAATAGGTTCAAGGTCATTGGAGTGAGTATTTTTGAGAAATATATTCCACTCGCAAAGAAGTTATAGATGACGATCTGTTCCTGCGGAGATGAGGCTGTAGTTGACACCGACCGTCTCAAGTGCCCCAAGGCTCTGCTGTGAAAGTCTTGACACGGGATCTAGTAGAAAGAGAATATGTGCCAGGAGACTATACGTCCTGTACCTATGTCTGTTTACTGCCTTTGTAGTAATTTGTCGAAGTACAGTGATGCAGCAAGCGTTTTAAATAACACCCTGGGACCTACTCTCAGACCGCCTACGTTAAGAACGACCGCCGTCTGGAAATGGATAGCCCAAAGTAGATGGTCAAATAGGCAGTTTAACAGAGGGTTTAGAACAGGCAGAATATTGTAAGACCCACGGGGTGTGCAGCCAATGTTGTTAAAGCTTTTGCTGTGTCACTGCACGGAGGCCTTTCATTTGGCCCCTTCAACTCAGGGGCATTCGGCCAGGCAACCATCGTTGACTGCCTCTGCGGGGTACAAGTCTCCGAATTCTTATCTGCCTCATGCGGACCTTCTAGGAACTAGTCACTGTGGGACTTTCGCTTGTGTCTAGTACGGGTTTCCATAGGATTAATGTAGCACTGCTAATTTTACAAGGCCAGGTACTGTAACAATAACATACAAGGTGCATTTTACTGCGCTGCTTGATTTACACAGCCCGCTCAATATGGGTCCAGAAAAGAGTTATCAACTGTGTATTGGTCAAGCCGTTTTCGAGAATGACTGTAAGCTACTCGCATAGCATGGTACTCTGCGTGGTCTGTGACTTTGTGTTATCTTCACCTTACTGGTTTAGTTGAATAATTGAATACAAGCTGCGTTCTATCTCACCTAGAACGCATCCTCCTAAGGCTCCGGATTGTCCCAGATCGGACTCTGCTCTGTCTAGTAGCCAACATAAACTCTCGCTGAAGCAACTAGCCATGATAGTTCTGAGTTTCTGGGATGGCTGAGCTGTGTCCAGTGAGTGCTTGCGTGTGCTGAAATGTTCTAATACAGCATCTAATCCAAAGTCTGAATAGTAGTCTTGCTGCTGGTACACGGTCACCCACTGATCATGGTAGATACTACAGATACTGGATATAAGGCAGTATGACTTATGGGGGCATTGATATTGTAACTGTGAATAACTCCACTAATTCTGAATATCTTTTGGCAGTAATGCCATATCAACTACTCTTTGTGAGCTCTAATTAATGCCTTAGGGCTCATTACAGTACACCATGGTTTTGGTGTTGAGTCTGATGCAATTCCATGATTCCTTAATGGACTACGTCGATGGGCTACCATGTGTGCATGTATCGTAATATAAGATCCATTCAACGATGAAGAAATCTGGTTCTATCTCATAAATGCTTGTGCCCCTAAGAGTGAACCATGGCTGTAATTCTAGGCTCCTTATCTTGCCCGACCAGCAATCAGGCTGTAGAAGTAGTCTGATTGTTGTGGCCTAATCTTCCAGTGGCTTTTTTTTTAGAGGTCACAGGCAGCAGGCTAGACGTTTAATATATGATTAGATGACCTTACCATGGAAGAGAGAGAGAGAGAGAAAAGAAGTTTATCTTTATCACATCATATTGATCGCCGGGCATCACCTCAAAGCTGGACTGGGTAGGTCTAAGATCAAAAATCTTTCCGCCTTCATGAGCCATGATCTTATAGTGCCCAGTTGGCACATTGAATGTGTGTGATTTCCCATATTCAAAGTCAGCCCGCGTACTTGTCGCCCAACGCATGAATAGTTGCATTGCTCGGTTCTGGTTCTCGATGGTAAAAGACACGGAACTCATATTGAAAGATCAGGGTCTAATAAGCTCTGCCTAGTAATTTTAGCACCTGAAGGATTCACTAAGTTGATTTGGAGAAGGTGGCACGCACTGATAGGGTTTAGATGTTTTGGTAATCATATGGATAGTTGAGGCGGACACAACTTCAAAAGCCAGAGTGATATATGATTTTATATCATGAATCTGTGCCATAGACTTCCCAATGCAACCGTAATATGTATCATGGTGTTATACCGGGGAATGGCATCAGTTGGGTAGTAGTATATGCACCATCTGCACTTGTGCCACCTCCTGCAGTTGACTGCGTGAAGCTAAAGCAAAGGTAGCCTCCTCTCATGTAACATATGTAGTCATTCATGCAGGCACCATAAATAGAGTTCAGGTGTCCAAAAGCTTAGGATATGGCCTAAGGTCCAGCCTGTGTGCTGCTGTGGAGCGTGGCCACCCTGCTTTCCGAGACCGCATTACTCTGCAAACTTATCACAAGCTCACCCTCTTCCGGCCTAAGGAGCTGATGGAGACGATCCAGGGCGTGCTAGTCATGATGATTATCCCGGAACTGGATAATATTTCCAGTCCGGGCGAACAGCAGGACGCTTTTGAACGTATGACCACCATGAAGGATCTGTTTCTGGCCAAGGACAAGGGCCACCTCTCCATTTTGACCCGTTGGAGGTATTTCAGAAAATGGCAGATTTCTTTGGGGCCGTTCTGGAGGGTATGATTGGGCAGTCATAGTATAGAAATCGAATCCTGCGATATAGCGAAAATCATCATTTTGGAAAACTTGGAAAGACTAATGGATACATATTTTCACTTTCCAGCTCCGTTTGTCCATAAATCCATGTTATGTGATAGATAGCTGGGTGTAGTATAATCATACTCTTCATTCGATGTGGTGACTGCCATCCCCCTCTCTATCCAGTCCTCCATTCTGTTAACAAGGTTGCGCGCGCCTACTTTTTCCTCGTTAAGCAGAGAAACAGTGGATCGCTCTGGAATATACATGTCCGTACGTGCGATGTCAGGCGGCTAAAAATGAGACCTAGGTATGAGAGATAGGTATATCCAAGATTGGAATCATCCCAGAATGGAAATATTCTTTGCATACTCCCCATCTGCAAAAAAATGTGATAGACAGGTCTCGGAATAACACAGCCCCTTGCTCCATGAGGCACAATAAGGGATTTAGTCATGATAGTGTTTGGTGCATATGATTTATCAGCCACGACAAGGCCGGTTTCACAATATCTCGTCCGTCATTGATGATTTCCCGCTTATTCTGTGCATCATGTTGGATCAATCAGTGCTGTTCATTCCTGTGCATAGTTCCTTCTGGCAATCTACCTCATTTTCATTCCCGCAGGCACTCCATCATTGCCTAGGGGGAGGTCCTACGTCTCTGGATTCTGATAATTTCCTGTTTTCCTTAGGCTTAACCAAACAGACAGAAGTATTTCCTCTCTCTTATCAACTCTTCTTCCCGTTCCGCTATCCTTAAGGGTATAGGCTTCAATACCGCTTGCGCAGTTAGTGCCTCACCCTCTCACACGCCCCCTTGCCTCCCTTGGCAGGGACGGGAATGATCATGTCCAAGTTAGCATTAACATCCCTGGCTCGCTCTGTGTCATACAACTCGAGCGTGCGGCCTGGCTGTCCGCCGTACAGGTCGTATCTGCGGAAGGCGCTCAATCCCTGGGAAGGTCTTCCCAATTCTGGTAGGATCTCTGGTGCAGTGACATGATTACCTCGGGAGATTAGTGGCAGCGAAAGAGGGAAATTTTATAGATCGAAATTCTACTATCCGTCTGCATAGCCTTTTGGTGCTAACAATATACGCAGTTGATGATTATGATTACCCTCCCGATCTGCGTGAGCAATTTAAGACGGATTCCAGACTCTAACTCGGTCCCCTTTTCTTGGTGGAACCGAACCTACAATCAAGAAGTTGACGAAGGCTGTGTACTGTACTCTCTTTGGCTAACATTGATGACTAACTACAGAGCATCTCATCCATAGCTGAACGGCAAGCGGTAGAGTCCAACGAATCGTAGATGGAAAGATGTAAGCAAACCGCTCTGTATGCAAGAGAAAGAGGGCCGAATCAACTTGCAGCATAAGAGGGCACTAATGGCTACATACACTGCGTAAAGCCCTATGGTTGCATAGGCTCAGGGGTAGGCATCTACTCATCCTTTCTCCGTTCGCGGAACATGAGCCGATCGAATTATGTGACTACTTCCTGCCTTATCTTAGTTTCAATACGCTACCCTCGGATGCACCGATGATAGGCCAGCGTCCAGTAGACCTCACTATCCGAAGGCCAATGTCGGCTTTCCGTTCCCCGCCAATCCACGCTATCGCCGGCCGCCTTCTCGGCTCCTTCGAAGTTACCGGGGTAGTTCTTTGCTTCCAGCATCACCAACATGGAACATAGTTGTTGTATTTGTAATCAAAAAGGAACCCTCAAGATTTGTGGATTGGTAATCAATGATCGTGTTTTACTCTGACATGGAGACATATGAAAACCAGCCGATTCTAGCTATTCTTGTTGTGCGTAGACATCCAGCTACATCAATTCGTTCGACCCGACGCGCACCCTCCAATTGCCGTCTGCTCTCCTGAATTTTACACGTCTTTATCGTCTATCATGGCTCCGACTGTTGCTTTTGTGACCGGCGCTAATCGCGGGTTGGGCCTTGGGCTCGTGAAGGGCTTTGTCGCAAAGCCGGACTACGTGGGTTCCTCTTTCTCAATTTCGACTTCGCTCAACACGAGCTAGAGGCTGACCCGAGGCACCACCCGTAGATTGTTGTCGCTGCGGTCCGTGATCCCGGGCATGCAACCGCCCAGGAACTCGCCAAGCTATCCACAGGCAAAGGCAGCCGTGTGATCGTGGTCAAGTATGATGCCAGCTTCGAGCAGTCTGCCTTCGACGCCGTCGAGCAGGCTACCGACCATGGTGTGGATCATCTCGACTACGTCGTTGCCAATGCTGGCATCGCCAAGGGGTATCCCTTTGTCAAGGATGTCAAGCGGGCTGATATCCTCGAGCACATCGAGGTGAACGTATTGAGCGTTGTGTCGCTCTACCAGGCCACGCGTGATCTGCTTCGGAAGTCGACAATGAAGCCCGTTTTTGCTATCATGGGATCTGGAGGCGGAGCGCTGGGGTAAGGATACCTACATCACAATGTCTATGCATCGATACTAAATCTCATCCTAGACGCCAGCCACCCGTTCCTAGTGCCTCATATGGCGCCTCCAAATCAATTCTCCCCTGGTATGGAGTTCGGATCAACGCTGAAGATGAGTGGCTCAACACTTTTGTCCTGGATCCTGGCTGGGTTCAGACCGACATGGGGAACTCTGCCGCGAAGGGCTGGGGGATTGAATCGGCACCGGATACCATTGAGAAGTCCACCGGTGGTATGGTGCGCGTGATCACAGAGGGAACCAAGGAGAAGTACGGTGGCAAGGTCGTACTATACACTGGCGAGGTTCAGGAATGGTAAACTACTAAGCTCGTATTTTATTATTGCTTCTATTTCCTTCGTGGGATAAATGGAGGGACGGGAATCAATTTAGGAGCCTAACACAGGGTGGGATGCGATATCATATTACCTGGCCAGTGTAGATTGAAGAGCTTTAATCATTATTGCAACGTTCTATTTAATGATCACATTCATCTTATTGCATCTGGAGCTGCAGGGACACCTCATCAGCATCCGCATGTGTCTATAATCTTAGGGCGGGGCCGCGCGGTCCCACACATCTGGATAGCTTCACCCTACAAACTCCCCCCCACTTCACCCAAAATAGCTTCTCGCTGCGTTCAGGGTTTAAAAGGAATTGGACCCAGAGTATCACAGAACCGGCTGCTGCCTTTCAACGAAAATTGCTGAAGTCCCCACGCGATATTGACCAGGAAGAGGGAAGGTGACATGTCCCCTTGAACGACAAGAGCAGGGGTGTACCTTGTCCTGGCAGCACCGAAATCCACCCACGTCTTCCACTGCTTTCTGTCGTCCAAATCGGAGTAGTAAAAATGATTGTCCACCGCGGTGGACGGCCCCAGATTTTGCCCTCGAAGGAAGCAATCGCTGGTCCATCATAGGACCGCGCCGTTGTAAATCTGACCTCCTGGGGACTTGACCAGTCTTTATTGGCGGCGAGAATATTGCCGCACGATTGAATCTGGATGACATTATTATCTTGCCCAATATAGGCCACGTAAAGACAGTCCTGTGCTCGGTTATGTCAGGACGCATCGGCAGGGCATGCATAAGCTTGTGGAATAAGTTGCTCTCCGCGCGGGAGCACTGCGACTGCCAGCCGATAGGTGTGAAACCCCATGACAAGCGGTTCGAAGGACGGATTGACTACTATGTTTTTACCGTGAATCTCTCTCATAGCAGCGCCCAACGCTGCTCGGTATGTAAAAAAGGACGGCTGCTGCTCGTCCGACCCAGGAGCTGAGAGAAAGTCGGCTCATGTAGCTCTTATCCATGTACCTCCAGATAAACAGCCCCTGGTTCCTCACCCTGCCGCCGTCGAAAGTAAGGCAGATCTCTCGAGAGGTTGTGTTCAGGAACGAATTAGCCCGGCGGTCGCCCATCCAACTGTTCTTCGGGCCACGAAGTCGTCGTCATTGATGATCAACCTGACTAACCATCCCATTGCAATGGCGGCGAGAGCCAGAATGGCAGCCGCTTTGTTCGTTGACCTATACTCGTCTCGGGGGTCATTACCAAGCTTGGCAGCCTCGATGGCAGCGTTGATGCAATAATTGGCTACATTCCTCAAGATTCGCGGCATCTGAGTAGAAACTACCACCGCCACTGTCGTCCGCCTCCCAAACTTCGACGTGCTCCGCCACATCCACCACCACTCTCCCTTCAAACAGGGCGGTACCACTGTCAAAATGTCACTCTGGAGTCGGTCTCCACGCTTCCATACTCTCGGGTTCGGTGTTCATTCGATGTCTTCCCATCCGCACCGGCTGCGTACCACCAATATATCTCGTCTCGTGGCCCCAAAGACTTGATCAAGGACCGGTAACAATGGAATCGGGCCAAGTCCAAGCGATAACGGTTCCCTGCTGGCGCCGTCATTGTCTCGCCCGCCTCGTCCGCCGATGGCTTAGGGGCAGTCGAATCCCTCGGCAGTTCGGGGACCATGTAGACGGTGACGCCGCCCCCGGCCTCTGCGACCGCCTACGCATGCTCCTCCGTGTCGACATAGGTGCCATCGACAGTGAAAATGTCCACAATCTGATTTCTGGGTTGCGCCAGGAGATGAGGAATCATGTTCTTGGCCTCATGGCGCAGATCGTCTTGAGTGAAGGACGTTTCTTCATCCAGATCGAGGATAGAGTCGGGGAGGATATAGAATTTGGGTCCGTCGGGTCTCCTTATTAGCCGCTACAAATTTCTGCGCGAACTTGGCAATCCCACGTCGTCGGTGACGATGTGCAAGGTGTCGAGGGCCCTCTGCTCCAGGTCCGACAATTCCAACCCTCGGCCTTTCGGGTGGCCGCGTGGAGACCGACGCTGAGCAATACGTTCTGGGTGCGGTTATTGCATCAAGTACTTTCCCGTGAGGTCACTCTTCGGTTGGGTCTCTCCATGAAGAAGGGCACGCATGGTGGCGAGCTGCTCCTCGCGAGACTTGAGTTTGGAAGACATGAGTGAGTATATTGGCGTTTAATATATTGGAACTGGTAAACAATGAAGGATGAAGGTTCGTTATTGCTATCGAGCTGAAGCAGAGTATCAATGCCCTTTCTTCGACATCGGAAACAGCATACAGGAAGTACAAAGGCGGTATCCAATAAAGCCTAGCATATGAGAAAAGCTCAAACCGGTTTTATGCTTCTCTACTACAATGCACCGAGGAGATACCATTCTCCAGCCTCCTGGCTGCCTCCAGTCGTACCTGGCAGATAATAGTAGCCGCGTCCTCAATCTTCTTCACCAACCCCACGCCTGTGCCAGCCCACACACTTCCTGCCTCCTTGACATCAAGATCCTTGTCCTGTCTTTCCATTAGACGCAAGTAGAACCGCCTCACGACTTCTTGTATGGGAATTCCCGCTGCCACATCCGCATAGGTTGCATTCCTCAAACACCGTCCGTCATACAACTCCGGCCACAGACTAGGGCCCCAGATCTCGTCAAAGACCCTCGACCGCACGGTTGACACTCCCCCGTCGACGGCATTTATGATTGCCTCCCGGTACTCACCAGGCAAGCTCGTCTCCTCCGCTGCCAGAAATCGTGTGCGCACCACGACCCCCGCCGCCCCAAGCATGACAGCCGCCGCCACGCCGCGTCCATCGACGATCCCTCCGGCCGCGATCAATGGGATCTGGCTCATCCGATGCTTGTGAAGCACATCACATACCTCTAGGATTAGCGATATGCATATGATACTCGCTCCACTTGCGTGACCGTGTCCGCCCGCATCGTTTCCCTGCACTCCCTGCACAACAAGAGCATCGGGTTGGCAGGCTCTGGCTGCATCAAGCGCAGCGGCAACGCTTCCAACCTGCATCCAGATCTTTGTGTCTGGGGACACTCTACGAAGCCCCCCTGTCCACTCTTGGAACTCTCCCGCGGTCCCAAAGGACAGCCAAACAACGGCGGGTTTGTACGCAGCAAATAGGGCAAGCCAGTGCGAGACAGGGGACCCAAACACAATTACTCCCACTCCGATTGGTAACGTCCCGTTGGGAACGGTGAGATCACTTAAATGCCGTTTAGTCTTTTCGAGCTCCGTGCCCAGCATCCTCGTGTCGTCCAGGAAGCCAATTTGTCCCAGTCCCCCACCTCGAGTGACGGCAACCGCTAGCTTGCTGGTTGCCGCGACGCTCATGGGGGCATTGATAATCAACAGGGTCTGTGCCCATGGAAGGTATTGTTTGATTTGTTGAACGCGTGTCATGGTGGTATCGGTAGCGAAGAGAATGGCGCTGTCTACACCGTAGCATGGGCGGACTAAACACGTAACCTGCAATTCCAGAGCGTTTGGATGGCCGTTTATAGTGTTTTGTATGCGAGATTTTTTGAGTCACCGGTTTCCTTCGGTGGCAATGAGTACCTTAATATTTGGATCATTCTGACAAACTTCATGGCTAGCCTACACCAAGGCCGCATGTCCTAAAAGTGTTGGCTTAATGATGATCTTGGCTTCTGTACTCAGCAGCTAACCAGGGCTATGGGCGAGATCAAAGGCCGAAAGTAATCAATGCTGGTCGCCAACACTACGGCTTTTGCAGTGGGGCTCGGCGGGGGGCCAAGTTTGTTTTCTGGGTAAGAATTCTTCTGTTGTAGGTTATGACTGGAGATGCCCGATACGAGTCAACTGCATTCCAGTTATGAGAACCATGGTTGTAATGGAAAGGGACAAATACTTATATATGTAGGCAGCCAGATAGGCTAATTTGTTATATTAAAATCACACGTTACATCTAAAATGGAGCTCACTGGTGTATCCTAATTAGCTCTCTTTCGCGCTGCTTTTTTCTTCACTCTTTGAAAGCCAAGTACATCGATGTGGACTTTCATCTTGTCCCTTTATCTGTAATAACTGGTACAACAAGCATTTAATTTGCGGCATGATACAGACATTTGTGCAGACGTAGTCAGTCAATGGTAGCGCTCAAAGTATCTTCCACCTCGCGAGCCGCAGCAGCCAACCCCTCAAAAACAGCATCCGCGCTGATCGACGAACTCGGCGCATTGAGCGCCTGTTGCAGCTCCTCGATCAATCGCTCTGCATCCAGTACATCGGTAGCCGGGGTCGGTCTATCAGCAAGTTTTAGCAGTCTGAGAGATCGCCTGAACACAAGGCCCTGCGGGCCTTGAACAGAAGCATGCTAATTGCATAGAAGCCCTGCAGTGTACAGCACGCAATATGTGGCAACCGGCGCGGCGACCTTGATGGACGCAACGGGACGCTTTCGTATCGGCATCTAGTCCGATGTCAGACAAGCGTGGGTTCGGCGAAGAGATGTCTGAAGCCTTTTGAAATCACAATAGCAGATTTGAGGCAGATTGAGGTGGAATCCTGCTCTGTGATGGGGAAGATGCATTCAATCTCGGCCATCAGCTGGCAGAGAGACGATGGGGCGGACCCGAGAACCCCACGGCATTGATCGAGGGTAGGTCACAATGATCCGCTAGGAAGATGGTGTGGTCCAAAAATGCGCGAAATCGATGTAACTTAAGGCGAGAACTATATCTCAAGTAGAAGGCTCCATGATTGATGACCCCTTCGGCGTCTCGTAAACCACCAAGAGATGAGTTAATTCCAGTGAAGTTGTGTAGAACTGGACCTACGAGGAACAGTAAGCTGAGAGAATTGATGATAGGCTCAGGAAGAAACTTCGCTTACTGTTGATATCAGTGGTCTCAGAGGAAAGGGGAGACAGATAGGCTCCATTGTCGATACTATTTACGTATAGGGCAGCGCTGGGGGCCTGTTTCCGCGCGAGAACTTTCAGCTGCTTCGATTCCTCTTCGGGCTCCACCGCACCGACTGGGGCGGTAATGACATTCCCGTCGACTGTTAAAGCACTGAGCAGGTTTCAATCAGCAAGGGATAGGAAAAGACAGGAGGGCACGAGGCAGGACATTCGCACAAGGGCTCTGCCCACCACACCGAGACTTAGATGCGCGGCTATCGGATGTCAGCAGTGGGCCCCGGATTTAACACTTTTTATACTCAGGAAAGAGATTCTGCAGGGAGGAGCAATAAAACAATAAAGGCCTGGGCCAAATTGACGGATGATGAATAGATAGGCTACAGTACCCACCATGCGAGTCATGACAATTTCACATGTGGCTGAGCTGATCTTGGGGTAGTCGACATACTATTGCTCTACAGTCTGCCGTTTCCTTTGTGACAAAAAATTGAGCTACTTCGCCCCTCGAAACCATCTGAAGTCTAAGGTTATGCCTCGAAAGGACAAATTTATCAATTGATTCGAGTTTGTTGATCACGAGAGTGACTGATAATGTATTAGTCATCACCCCGCTACGGTCGGCGTTTGATTGCCTTAGGCCCCAGCAAGTATCCGAAGGACTCCAGAAAGATCGCCACAGAGGCCGAGAAAGTGGATTCTGGGAAGTGGTCGATATCAGACCACAGAGATCAGCCTAGTTTATCCACCGGTACTACAGATCCGACGCTATCGCTTTCTACTAATATCAATAGATGAATGCACAGAAGCCTACAATCAAAGGCCGATATCTCAGTGTCATATGTTGGTCAAGACTCCTCCTCTACATACATACCCAGCTCGGTCTGTCAGGAGATCGCCCAAACCGTCACCTCTCCGTCTCAGTTGCTGATTTGCTTACTCTTGGTGTAACTCCCCCATATCATGACTCATCTGCCAGCCATCATGCTACCCGTGTCGGCTGGCGATGAATACTACGATCTCGGCTCTTTCGGTCGGAAGATCACCACCTCCAGCCCGGACACTCAGACCTGGTTCAATCGGGGCCTCAGTTGGGTTTATGCCTTCAATCATGTCGAGGGCGCCTATTGCTTTGAACAAGCCATCGCTCACGATCCGTCATGCGCTATAGTATATTGGGGGCTGGCGTACGCAGTGGGCCCCAACTACAACAAGCCGTGGGACAGTTTTGATAGGGAAGACTTGAAGGCCTGCATGAAACGGGCATACGATGCGTCACGCAAGGCCAAGGAACATGCAAACAATGCGACTCCAATCGAGCAAGGGTTGATCGAAGCCATCCAATCCCGATTCCAGAGCGCCTCCCCACCCAATACTACTGCGGAGCGCTCGGCGCTCAACCATGCGTACGCGACCGCCATGGAGCCTGTCTATCGAGCCTTTGGCGACGATCTAGATGTCGCAGTTCTCTACGCGGATGCGTTGATGAATCAGACCCCCTGGGCACTCTGGGATCTGTTCACTGGCGAACCGAATCCCAAAGCAGCCACGATGGAGGTCAAGGAGGTACTGGAACGCGCTCTGACTCAAGAAGAATCTGACAAGCACCCAGGGCTGCTGCACCTCTACATCCACTACATTGAAATGTCGCCGAATCCCGAGTTAGGTGTCAATATAGCCGACCAGCTGCGTGACTTGATGCCGGATGCAGGTCACATCCACCACATGCCAACTCATCTTGACATTCTGATCGGGGATTGGCGGCGTTCGATTGCGTCCAATTACAAGGCAACTCTAGCTGACGACAAGTATGTGCGCCGCACGGGACCATACAACTTCTATACGTTCTATCGACTTCACGACTACCATTCTCTCATCTACGCGGCTATGCTTTCCGGAAAGCTCAATACGGCTCTGGATGCGGTCGGCCGGATGGAGGCTTCAGTCCCTGAAGATGTGCTACGGATTGAGTCCCCGCCCATGGCTGATTGGTTAGAGAACTTCATGTCCGTTCGCTTACATGTCATGGTGCGCTTTGGGATGTGGGAGGCGCTGAAACAAATAGAATTACCGAATGACTCTGAACTATACAGGGTCACGACGGCAACTACACATTACGCCAAGGCGGTTGCCTATTCGGCTACCGGGGATGTAGATGGAGCCCTAGAGCAGCGGGAGCTCTTTCAGCAGACTTGTGCACTTGTCCCAGGGACCCGCCGTGCCTATAATAGCAAGTGTACTCAGACCTTGGCCGTGGCCGCGGCCATGCTGGATGGGGAAATCGAGTATCGCCGTCAAAACTACGCCACGGCCTTTGAGCATCTGCGCAAATCCATCGAACTTGATGACAAACTTCCATATAGTGAACCATGGTCATGGATGCAACCGAGTCGACATGCCTACGCGGCCCTTCTCCTGGAACAAGGCCATCTCGAGGAAGCGGCCAATGTGTACCGCGCTGACCTTGGACTCGATGACACGCTGATTCGTCCCCGCCGCCACCCGAACAATGTTTGGTCGCTCCAGGGTTACCATGAGTGCTTGACACGGTTGGGAAGAACGGAGGAAGCGGCTGTCATTGAACCCGCAGTAAAGCTGGCGTTCGCTGTAGCAGACATTCCCATCAAGGCTTCGTGCTTTTGCCGATTGGATACGTCACAAGCACCGCGTGTCATTAAATGCAGTTCCAATGGGAACTGCCACTGAAAGGATCAGTTGAACGTCAGTATATACTTCAAGAGAAAATAGTAATCTGGCCACAACTATTCCCAATAGCCGGGTTACTTGGGTTATTATTCAGTGATCAGAGTACCTCGTTACTCCCTTTAACAGTCTTAAAACTGCTGCAAACGATATTGTCTTGAATGACAATATTCTCTACCGTATTTATTACAATATCAATGTGTGGCCAGCCTTTTTCGCTTCTATCCAGGAGCCATCCCGGGGTACCAGTTAGCTAAGACTGGACTTTGTATTCAGTAGAGAGCAACGACCTATTCCTCAGTCGCAATCCCATTTCCCATCACGGATACACTACCTCGATATCCACCTGCCCCCGCTCCTGGCTGCCGTCATCAAAGGTTATGTGAACGTAGCAATGCAGCTACTTGCGTTGGGGGAGCGATTGAACATCAATGCCCAAACCTACCAGAAGGAATCCGCACTGTCTCTGGCGGCGCGTCAAAGAGATCTAGAGGTGGTCGACAGTGAGCCTAGCACGCTCCATGTTTTATTTTTTTCGGCACATTTTCAATCTGATAACTGCGTCCATTTCAGGAGATTGTCAATCTTAGTAAAGGAAATATTCCAAACCTTTGCTGCTTGGCGAATATTGGAATTTTTTTGAATACTTTAAAGCAAATACTGTTGGTGAATCCACCCTTCTCGCTCCACCAATATTCTTGGTATTCGGTGTGGTTATCGTGGCATAGCTTGCGACTTGAATAGCTTCAAATTATTAGACGCGTTCAGGTCGATGATTGATCGGGTTGGACAGTTGGTAGGGTCGGTCTGGAATTATGTTACTGTGCTGCCATAGAAATGGGGTAAGAGAGAACAGATTCAGGCTCAAAAATAACGCATTGTTAGGTAACGTGCTCAAGGAACGGCCGATATTTCCCTTCATGGCGGGTAGGATAGATATTGGTGCGCATATAAAAATAAATCATCAGCAGACTCCAGCTTCCGATGATCAAGGGATTAAAGCTGTACACATAGAAATTAAGAGAATGTTTAGTACTAGCTAGCTTATATAACAGCTGAGAAGGCCATACGCACAGCATTCATACAGTGGAGGTATTTTTGTAAAACTTCGCCTGCGGAATCACCTAGGTAGCGATGGTGCTGAGAATGGTGCTCAGGTGGGTTTGCCACCGTTATGGTCATCCATTCAGCGATTTTCCGCTATCATGTTTCCATCGTTCATGCTGCATGTGTAAGCTGTTCACTTCATTTTCCTCAATTGGAAATTCCATAACATTTCAGATGTCGTACGATGACTGTTGCGCCTGAGAGCGTTGTTTGTCTTGGAACTCTTGCTACCGACATGCTGTATTACACTGGGAGTCAGTGCCCAGCGAATATCTCCATGCTTGTCTGCTTACTCTTCTGTGAGCATATCGACATAACCAATGCCTTTTAACTCGTACCAAGACACCAGGTCATTCATACGGGCGTTTGGAAAGACGAACCCTTGGGAGCAGCAGCCAAACTTTGGCATATTATGCACCCCATCAGGAATTGGTAGCATTGTCACTCGGCCGGCCGCAAAAAAGAGGATAATTGAAAGTGGCGTGCAAATGCAAGATACAGCGAAAATAGTTTCATTCGTTATGAATGGTTTCAAAGGGGGCAAATAGTGGCGGATGCTTAAGGTTGTCACTACCACAACAGTTACTGAGACTAGAGAGTAGAACAAGTAAGCAGGCCACTCTTCTGAATTCCAGCCTAGAAAATTTTCCGTATAGAAAAGCCGAAGGTAGAGCCCTTTTTCATGGAAGTCTGGATTAGATTTGAGGACTGACTAATGCAAAAGGGCCAGAATACTACTCCAGTACTTACATTGTGCAGCCCCCATTTCCACCGTCTGTCGTTCAGCAGCTACCACGGCTCGTTTAACCCGATGATACCAACCATCGAGGGCGATAATGTCATCTTCAAATATAATACTGTATGAAGTATTGACGGATTGGCATGCTTTCAAAAGGTATGTGTAATCAAGCAGGCCCTTTTCGCGAGCAAATCTTTTTGCCTCAGATGTTTCAAGCTCACGGATGTGCTCGATGTCCACGTCTCTCTCATCATACAGTAGGACCTCATCAGCTAGTGCATGAAGCCATGGCTGTAAGTAAGCTGGGTGCTCTGTAGGATCTGTATGTGCAATGAAAAGGATAAGATATAGATCAGCTCTCTCTGCCTCAGAGAGACCTGATAGTACTGATCCAACAGCGCCCTGAAAATAGCTTACACTATTCCGCGCAACAGAGGCAAACCCCACGCACATAGAAGGACTAGAGGATGCCTTAAGCTGAAGCATTCCAGTCTTATTATTGGCTCCTTTAATGAACTCATTAGCCTGCTCCGCACGCAAAGTCAAATATGCAGGCACATAGGCCTCATCTTCTCTGAAGAAGGAAGATGTTGGATCGCGCCAGCAATGCAGATGAGCATAATATACTGTCAAGATGTAAGGAATCAAGAAGATGAAGAGGACACGACATGTGTAGGACTCAAGGAGAGAACGCACGCAAAGTCTAGGTAACGTTGACGGTAAAAGCATGTTGCCTTAACAATATCGCGACGTGACCGAAAGAGAGAGCCCGATGCTAAAATATTTACCACGATATTTGAGCATTAGGAAAGTGTGCTGTTATACGTCCTGTATGGAGAAGACGATCGCAGATTAGTCTGTCAACTGCGGACTTGCCCTTAGCTTTGGGTAAAAGTCATTTGTTTGATTTCTGCCACTGGGCCGACCAGCAATAACTTGAACTGTCAAATGTTAACATGAGGCAAGCTCGACACAATTGGAGAGGTTTCAAATATCCCTGGTGGCTACTACATTTTCCTAAATTTTAGATGGTTTAGGGTACCCGAGCTGTCCAATGTTAGTGCCTCGATCTTAGTACTTACCCGAGCCCATGCCCAGCCAGTCATTATCCCACACATAAGCTGTGAGGCAAATAATTTCTCCATTCCTTCCAGCGGTAAAGACACGTACATCAGTTAATAGCAAGAGACAGGACATTTATTTCATCTGGCTTGTATGGAACCTGCTTGGTATGTCATGTATTTTCTTACTGATCATTTATCCCACGCATGAATAACTGCGAAGTACGATGAAGCTACCCATGCAAAATCTCAATACTCCCCTACACACGCGAAGGAAAAAGGAAGAAAAATCGATTCCTGTGCACCTTCGGTCGTCATTAGCCAATCGAGCATTCTCCCCTTATACTAACAAGGGACCACGTATAACCCGGCCTACCTGGTCAGCAACTAGTGGAGGGAGTGGGTCAATCTATACTTCACCAGTAATAGAGGCTTTGAGCTTAAGGTCAATCCACAAACCTGTAACAGCATAGTGCTCCTGCTCTATTGCGTAACTGCAAAGGGCAAAGGGTCCTGTTCTTCTTGAGGCTTGTGAATCTGCAACTCAAAGGATTTAGCTCCATACTCAGAGACTAGCCTTCAACTGAAACCGCCACCATTTTCCCTCCCACGATCTCTCTTTCAGTATCATTGTCATGTTGAATCCCCTCATCTCACAAGGGAGGACCGAAGTAAAAGCAACCATTTCCTAACGCCTCTCAGTGTCGCGATCTGAAGAGAAACGCCAGCTCATATGTCTCGTTTCACTGTTATTCGGACAGTAATGTTTCTAGGAATTCTATGGCTTCTTTATCACCACCTAGCCCCTCGTGGGCGTCTTTCGCCTCCCGAGGAATCTGCTCACCCACCACTAGAGATTTCAATCCCGAAGATTGTTCACCAGCTTCTGATATCGACGCCTGGACATCCTATATCACATTTTAAGCTAAACAGGCACGTCATTTCATGGCAGCGATCTGGCTGGAAAATTGAGTACTGGAGTGCAGATTCCTGTCTCCAGCTCGGGCGAGAGCTTGACGAATCAGGTACTTACTCAGAAACATTCGACAAATTGCCGAACGCAGTCCTCAAATCAGATTTTTGCGAGTACATGATTATGCTTAGACGCGGTGGAATCTACAGTGACCTCGACGTTCAGTTACTTCAGACTTTGCCATGGGGTATAATGGCGTCCTCTAGAGAGAATCAGGAATGGCCTCCATCAGTAATTATTGGGATAGAGGGAGATGCATCTATGATACGGCTCCTGCGGTCACCGCAGTTTGTGCAGTGGATTATGGCCTCAACGTCAGGCCATCCAATCTTCCGCCACCTACTGGACCATATCGTGCGAAGCACCCCTGAGTGCCTCCGACAAGCGACCACTGATGATGCGGCAATAGATGTCATGGGCTGGACGGGATGGACGGGACCAAGTATTTGGACAGACACAATCCTAGGCTACATAAATTGCAGCACTCAGCAGATTGAGGAACTTCAAGACTTGGAGACTGCTGTGCGCATCAATGAGGTCCTTGTCCTTCCTAAACAGTCTTTTGCTACAGTCCAAGGTGAGGATGTTATATCCTCCAAGGCATTAGGGAAGCATTACTTTAGTGGAACCTGGAAGACATGTAAAGATCAACGACCTAGTTGGCTGCGATTATGGGCTTGTTAGGAGCAAAAAATCTGGACGCTTTGCTCTGTACGCCTAGATGCTACTGCAAGGAAACTCTGGCAGCATAAGCGGCGGATATTTACCGTAGAGTATCAGTCTGAGGAAATTGAATATTTTGACAAACTGTATTTCTGGAAACCGCAAGAGTCCTAATACAGATTTTAAGTAATACAGCTCATTTATTAAGGGTTTAATGTACTGTGGGCTAGAATACTCTGCAGTGTACCATTATACAACCTATAGTCACATAGGTACAATAGTATTATTCCAGAAAGCTAGTATGTATTCAAATTTCCCTTTTCCAAATTTGTCCTATGCCTAGAGGGCATCTGAAATAAATAGAGCAAAGCATGGCTATCCCTGTGAGTAGCAGTCATACCCCTAAAGATCACGCGCGGCTCTTCTCATTCGCTTTCCTCTTTCGCCGAGCACTTGCTAACTGTCGAAACTCTGCGTTGGTTTGCTAGCTTCAGGTGTGATAGAGGCCCCATAGAACATACGTCAGATCTAACCCAAGCTGCTGCCAATTCATAACTCCTTTAGACCGACAAGGCCGTCCCGCTGAAACTTGCTCATAGAATAATTGATAAAATCGATGATGTCCTGGTTCCCAACCTTGTAGATAGGCATATGTCTCATCCACGAGCAACCTTAACTTCAAAAGCGCAGGTGCTGTATTAAAATGCAACTCTTGATGGGCGTTACTGCCCTAACTCTTCTCCTTTCTGCTGCTGCTGAAGTTGCTCCTGTGGCTGACAGAAGCATGAATGAAGCATCCCCATCCGTCCTGTTCATTAAGAAGAGAGCCTCAATCAACGACTGTGGTGCCTCTAACTTTCATCAACCAGAGCAGCGGTGGATCGCCCAGGGTAGGTGACTGCTTGCAAATCGCCCGCAAAATTGCTGGCGGCGGCACCTGGACCTTCCAGGGCTTCAGCGTCCAGCACCAACTACTTCAATACGGGACTTGCGCGTTCGGTGTAACGCAGATCTAGAACAACAGTGAAGATTGGCAATCAGGATATCTTTGACCTTATGAATGATTCCATCTCGCGCTTCCAATGGTATGGTCTGGTCGGCTCCAAGGGCACCATGGACTGTCAGGTGACCTTCTGCGTCTTTTATCAAAATAGAAGTAAAAACTGGCATACCCTTGCCATCCGTTTACCCGGTTATCCTGAATGGCGGAATTTCGCTTATATCTGGCCACTCAGATCATACATCCTCATGATTACCGCAACGAATTCCCCCAGTACGCCTACACTAACTAGAATTGATCATAACATGACTATTTATAGTGAGAATACTTTATGAAGTTCGTCGGCAGCAAAATATAATTATTTACTGTGCGTTTGTCAGTTCAAGGGCGTAAGAAATAGCAAGCTTGGCCGCTACCAGCTGACTGTGACATCTCTTACCATCTTAAGATTATAGAGCTAGGGAGACTATTAAGTTCATGGTGCTGTCTTTCATAATTCACAGGGCACTTAGAGAGGCCGATGGCAGTCGTTGTACTTTTAAACGGCCTTTTGCTATAAAGCATTACTTTAGTAGGACCTGTGGAGTATGCAAAGAGAGCCACAAGAACCTGGGGATTGTCTAGCATTTTCTCTCTTACTATGAGAAGTAACCACATTAATACGAATAACATCAGCTCTGAATACTTCATATGAATAGAATTATCTGCAAAAGAGTGTCCTAAATCCCAGAGCATATCAACCTAATAGGGAGGTGGGATCACCAATCCATGAACATCCTCGCGACTAAAACCATACTCAATGGCCTTCCTCCTCTTCCATTTCACAACCTTACCTCTCCTAATTACCGGCTGTCCTATTTTTGTGCTTTCAGTGGTTATAGGACAGCCATGCGTACTTTAGGTGTGATAGATACCCCAGATAATGGGCACGTTATCCGACCCAAGCGTTGGCTGGCAATCCATTTCTCCTTTAGCTCCGACCAGACCAAACCACTGGAACCTGTTCACAGAATCATTGATAAGATCAATAATGTCCTGGTTCCCAATCTTGTAGATAGGCCCATCAGCAAAATCAGGATCGTGCTCGACTCCGAAGGCGCAGGTGCCGTATTGAAGAAGCTGGTGATGAACCCCAGCTACAGCACTGACAACCCATGTGCCGCCGCCAGCAATGTTGCGGGCGATTTGCAAGCAGTCATCTACCCTGGGCGATCCACCACTGCTCTGGTTGACGAAAGTAGAGTAACCGCAGTCGTTGATTGAGGATCTCTTCTTAATAAACAGGACGGATGGGGATGCCTCATTCATGCTTCTATCAGCTGGGGCAGCCACAGGAGCAGCTTCAACAGCAGCAGTAAGGAAAATGCCTAGGGCAGTAATTCTCTTCAAAAGTTGCATTTTGCTGATCCTTAAAGATGTTAGTGTGTGAAGAATAATGCAACTGAATGCTATGGTAGTCATACTGTGGCTAACCTGTGGTCCTTGGTAAATGACAGGTTTTTTTTTTTTTTTTTTTTTTTTTTTTTTTTTGGTAAAAAGGGCTTGATAATGAGGTTGACTGTGGGTGAAAGTAGTAGATGATGGCTGAGAGTCCTTGCTAGATAAATATCTCTACTAACAGCACTCACAGGGACCAAGATCTAGGAGCCTTTTATACTTTTAGGAATCACTGGTGGAACCCTGATATTTCTATATTAGCTAGAATGGCACATGTTTATCCCTGTACAATGTAGTATCTGCAGGAGGTCCAAACTTAGGAATAAAATGCTAGTATTAGGCAGCTTCAGGACTATCTAGCCAAATAAGGGTAATATTCCGATATTCATGAATCCTGAAATCCCAGGTCTGTATTATAGCACTCCTAGTCTGTGAAGGGCCGTAATGAGAACCTTGTACCTCTAACAGATATATAGGCTAAATTGCCCATTATCATGGCAGAATGTCCTATAAGGTGACATTCACTATCCCTCGGACATGACTGAATATTTTCCTACCACTCGGGGCAACGGAAACCGCTAGGAGGAATAATGCCTTAGGGTAATGTGGGCTAGAGAGAAGCAAGCAGAACGGTGTACATAACAGGCTAAGGGAACAACTCGTTAAAATAGGCGCACCTAGCCCATGCCGTAGCTGCGCTGCAACTTGGAAGGGCGAACATTTTCACCCAATATCTCCATTAAGCTGCGGTTAGCAGGTCATATTCTAATATTCCAGCACAGTGGATTTGCTAATCATGATGTTGTAAGTTGATGTTCAAAGCACCCTCTGTGGTACCTGAGTGAGGCCATGATAGAAGTAGCAAGGTGTAGACATCACTTTTAATTAGCTTTTATACTGCACTAGTGCCTACATGGTACTAAATTTTAGATGGTTTAGGGTACCCGAGCTGTCCAATGTTAATACTGCTTTCACTAGTGCCTCGATCTTAGTACTTACCCCGCCTCTAAGACTGACAGGGGTCTTGAACTCAGGGTGGATATTTACATCTACAGTGCTACATCGGACTTCCAATGTCATTGAGATTAGTCTTCTAGTTTTGATAAGTGAGAGCGGTGGCCATCCTCTGTATATGTCGGAATCTACAGAACATAGCAGAGCCTGTAAGATGATTGGTGGAGTATATATATTGTCTAGGTTAGCCTCGCCTCTGACTGACAGGGGCCTTGAATTTAGGGTGGATCGCTACATCAGTGTTACATTAGACTTCCAATGTCATTGAGATTAGTCTTCTAGTTTCGATAAGTCAGAGCGGTGGCCATCCTCTGTATACGCCAGAATTTAGAGAGTCCGCCGCCATCGTCAAAATCGTTGCGGGTGGGGTCGTCCAGGATCTTGTTCTTCCGGTCGTAACATCCACGCATCACAGATCTTCATTTGAGGTCTTCGTATTTGCTCGCGAGATCCGGATCGTACCGTGTCAACAGCCTGACGGTCTGCAAGACATCGCTGCTGACCTGGTGGATATTATGCTTGTGCACTGTCTGGTGTGGCCAGCACGCGTCTGATCTCCTTGCTGATTTTAGGTGGAGAGAACTCGTTACGGTGCTGATATGGTGGCAAGGTGTCAGACCTCCCGGTATCTTACTGTAGTGAGGAAATGAAGAATATACCCAGCTTTCCAATAGTGTCGGCTACTGCCATTTCCAGACGAGTCGCTCCCACTGTTCCTGATTGTTTCCCGCGGCATTGGTATCCCCATGTTTCTGTATGCCGGGTCGGACCAGAACAGAACTGGATGAATACGGCATTAATTTGGGGAACCCAACTGAAATGATTTCGGCCAGTAGACGGCTGAAATTAGCGTCATTTTCCAGCATTTCATCCGACCATGTAGAGACCACAGCGTTGAAGTAGATTAAGCGGAGGGAAGAAAAGAAGAGAAGAGATGGAGGCCCAAGTAACATTTGATATGCGCTAACAATGCTATTTACACTACTTGGCCATGGCGACTCGTAGTATGGCGGGTTATATTACAGGGATTTAAATCCTTACCAGTCAAGCCAGGGCCCCATAGCGCCACATTCCTAAAATTCATCTGGTGTTTAAGCTACCTAGACCTCAGCGCTTTAGTGGCAGTATTATTGAGCGTAATAGTAAGCCTACTTAAGTGCATAATAGCTGTTGCCGCCAGCAAAGTGGACTTCTGGTTATCTTAATAAAAAATAAATTATATCATTTTACAAGATGGTAGCTTTACTAGATAGAATACAGACGTAGAAAATATGGAATAATAATACTACTAGGCCAAAAAGGCGTCCAGACTTTGTACTCATGGCTCATATCCATTGTGGTATAATATTCCAACAGAAACATTAGTCCTCAAATATTGTTGGCGAATTTCGAAGGACTCGAGCCCCTGCAATGGCCTACTATACCAACAAAATCACCCGACCATCAGAGTTAACCGGAGTAATCATCCCTGCACGCCAATGCAACCTCAAGTAAATGGCGTATTTTGCCAAAATTTCGCAAACAGAAACTTGTGAGACATGGTGATTAAACTACTGCGGCCATCGCTTCATTTGATGCCACAAGCTTAGTGCTGACAGATCATTTAGTTGCCTGCATGTATGTGGGATGGTCTGGTTCATTATCCATGGCCTGCAGTGAAAGATTTCATGGCGGGAGAGCATAATTAATAGCTCAAAGGAGGAGGCCAACCCCATCTCTCTCAGTGGATTGAGCCAAATCCCCAGGAGATCCGTCAAGATGGTTCTGCAAACTCTTTTACCATATTTCCTCTTCTTGGGCGCCGCGCTGGCGAGCCCATCTCAGCCGACGACAGGATGGTCCTGTTAACCCTGACATCGCGGTAGATTGTACCTGATATGACGCTGCTCGCGACAAGACCTATATGCCAATGGTTCGAAGTCAACTGGGGGTTGTCCCATCAGGACTTTATGTCCTACATGCGCGTCTCCCCCTCCTATTCTGACTCTCTGAATCAAAACCCAATCAGTCCAACGAGCTAACGTGCATTGCAGAATCCTCAGTGAAGGAAGTCTGCATTGGCATCAAGGTAGGTAACTCCTAGTGCGTCGAGGCCAACTATCGCACGCCTCGTCCAACCGCAACCACCCCAACTAGCACGGCCACGCCGAAACCCTCTCCGACGCAGGACGGCCTGATCGAGACCTGCGACAAGAGCGTCGCCAAATACGGCACCTTCACTTCGGCTGACTTTCTCTCATGGAATCCTGCTATTGGCGCGGACTGCAGTGGCCTCCAGGCAAAGACATACAACTGCGTGGGTGTATCTGGTACGCCAACAGCTAAGCCGACAACCGCCCCGACCACAACTCCCACTGGGCTGTCGCTGACACAAACAGACATAAATCCTCATATACGAGTGTCCATCTGAGGATTTCTACCAAGGGAGGTTCTTCCACACCAGCCGTAGCTATCTCTTCCATAACTTGCATATCGCCATTATGTTGTTTATAATGGAAACCATAGCTGGCGGATCGCGCCCCAGGAAATAATCAACATATCGCGAGATGATCTTTCGCTTGACCCTTTCCGTATAATACCTGTCAATCAAATGTTCGAGTAACAGTATTGCCTTTTTGAGGAACGCCAGAGGTTTGATCTGATCCTCATGATCCTGGAATAACCGCGACGCCGGAGCTTCGAGCAGGAATACGATGTATGCCACAAATCTCGCGCTGGTATATAGTGGCTTATCAAACCGAAGCTCTGCTGGATCAAAGTGCAGAGCATCGCCTCTGAATACATCGTTCATGGCGCTGAAAAATTTCTTTAAAGTCTCGGCTCTGTGGATCCGTTGCAGCAAAGCTACCCAGGCCTCACTTGCTTGTTTAAAATTCCCTTCTCCGCTGAGGTCTCGCATACGCAGTATTTCTTGCTCAATTTGCTCCCTAGCGGGTACTGCTTGGTAGGATCCTGCGTTAGGAAGGGAGCGCGATCATACCATTTCCGATAAAAGAGAGAAGTGCTGCGGGTCACAGTGACAGATGAAGGACTTGTTCCGTTAAAATTGCAGCATCCACTGGCAAGTTCTCCTCTTGGCCAAAGGCGTTGGGTTCTTCAAAGCTTGGAGGGAGACTGAAAACCGGTCGTGCAGTTGCAGGTGTCACGACCTCTTCTAAGCCATGGTTGGACTCAACACTCATTGATTGATCATTGATTGGAAGACGTGTAAATATGGCAAAACCCTCCGGAGTTGCCGGGGTCAGTGCTGCGGTGGACTTTAATTGATCGACCCTTGTGCTAATCAGGGTACTATCCAGTACTCACCATTTGTGGCTTGACTCAATTCAGTCGAAGTAGTATGGCGGGACATCTCTTTACGAGAGTTTCGGGCGGAATAGGGAGGTTTTTATTATCGACTGTACTGTTTTTCTTGTTTTGTCTCCGCTTCTCAACCTTTGTAGCGACTTTTCTCCAGTCGTCAGACGTTTTATACCTTCTGAACCCCCAGATCTTCAACCACTTTCCAAATTGATTTTTGCTACTCGCTATTAGCAACCACGTCAAGTATCATACGTTGGAACGCTAACTCACGTCACGTGGAAATTGTGGTCATCCGCCATAATTTTCATCACCTCTGCGAGGGTGTGTTTCTCCCACAGGGACCGAATAATCCCCTTGTAATGTTCCCATTCAGGTTCGGAGACTTTGGATTTTCTTGAAGTTGGCATTGTCAAAGGCAGCATGGATCTAGGAGTAGTGAGTAAGAGAGAAGGGGCCAGGGCATAAACAAGACCATGTTCAGGGAGCCTTCAAACCCGCTGAAAGTATATAGCTTGGTCCCTGTACGAGGGTTGGACATTTCACTATCCTCCAGCCCTGGCTGTGATTCGGGATCCTTCCAAGTCGCAGAGCGTCCCACCAGTAGAAAGAAAGATTGGAAAGAGCAGTATGACAGTTCACCAAATAGTGCATTGGTATGACAGCTTTCTACATTCTGGTTGTATATCCTGGATGTAAGCCGATCTGAATCCCAGATGATAATCCCTCCCCGCACCGACCTCTGGTGGCCTGTAAGCAATCTACCCGTGGCGATTCTATATAGGTGTAGATTTGCAAGATGCTAGATGTTGGTCTTTTGGCCTTGTTCGAAACTTAGAATCCGGCTGGATTCCTTACAAAATTCAAGAGGTGTTGTAATAACTACCTGAGAACTTATACCAGCACCGCCTGAACAATGCAGCTCTATTCTACAGCTCTCTATCTAATAGCGTTGACGCCTTGAGTTTTAAATTTGCTGCCTTTTTGATGCAATCGCCCTTGATCAGTATATCACCAGGCGATAAGATGGCATTCATCTCACAGTATCCTCTCTGCTTGCACTACAACATGTCTGATTATTTTACATATTGCCTTGGTAAAATCAGATACGCCAAAACTATAATCCCTGCCACTTGAAATTTGGAGAGATGTTAAACGGAGCTTTAGCGCACATGGTTTGTGCATCCCTTCCAATCTTGACATGCCATTTCCCGGGCTCTGCTTGCTATATCAAGGTCAGTTCATCCCAGGGGAGATAGCAACTACTCTAATTATCAGCAAGTAATAAAGCCATTAAGTCTTAATCTACTTACATTTATCCATCTCCATGGTGACATTCTCAGACTGACTGGGTAGAAGTACAACAGTCTTTGTGAATACTTACAGAGTGACATCAGGATGCATAAGAGAAGTTATTATTAGTGGGGGCGTACTCCTGTAGACTTAAGTAAATATAATAAGCACTAGGTACTATGCTACTATTGGTCACTCTAGTAGAAATAGAAATATGCCATAAGTCTGGAGAAGATGATACAGACAGTAAAATAGTAAGGACAGAATAATTAAAGATAGTATATAATAGGCTATAACTAAATGGATACATGCTTTCGATGCTCTGGGCATTAAAGTAACGGTAGCCAACCCAGATACCTTCCTCATAGTAGGTCTTGGTTCATGCTAACTTAAAGTTAAGGTTTGCAGCAATATTAAGCTCCTGTCTCCGCAAGGTGATGGGCAATCATCCGGAACTGTTGAGGGTTCCGTACACAATGTCAGCGACGCCATTTCCAGCCATGACATGAATACAGCTGAACCTGTCTGGAAGATGACGACCTTTTTAGTGTTTGGTGCGTCGGTCGCGAACGCAGCGGACAAGGTCGTTCATACGGAGAGGGAGAGATTGATCTGGGTGAAGTAGTCATTCCTATTGTACCGCCATCTCTAAGCAAATTGCCATGTCTGAAGGCCCTCCTGTATAAGAAACATAATCGTTGATAACTGCCAGGTCATGGATCAATTGCCGATACATGACATCCGGTGGAGCCTATCGAAATGATTCCCGCCTTGACATCGATGTAAACACAATCCAACTTGATAAGCAAAGAACGAGCATCCCTAGGACCATTGGCTGCAAAATTTGGATGCCTGCCACCTTTGCCAGGGCCCCCGTTATGAATGGAAAAACACAACCACCAGCACTCCCTAGAGCGACGGCAATCCCAATACCTGCGATATGCAAATGCTTGGGTAAACGATGTGCCAAAGCAATGACTGCTTCCGGGAACAATGGGCCGAGGAAAAATCCTAGCATGGCAACTGCAGCTACGGAGACCTTTGTCTCCTCCACCAGCCAGAACACAAAATGGAAAGCCAAGCAAGCTGCCACGTACACGATCACCGTGTATTGGCCGATTTGAAGGTATGTAGTTAAGAATCCAAGGAGGACACGGCCCGACGTTAGCCCTGCCCAGTAAGCAAAATTTGCCATACCCGCCGCGAATGGAGGTATGCCTCGCTGGCGGACAAGGTAAGTGAAAACCCAACCACCCAGGGTGATTTCAATCCCCGCATAAATGAAAATGAATAGACAGATTATCCACGTTGCCGCTGACTCTAGCGACTGTATTGTGGGGCTACCGCGCAACGTTTCCCTCCAGGAGAGCTTGGTATGGGCTCTGTTCCCGTTGCTTTGATGATGCTCTACCTTGGCCGAAGTACCTCGCGCCGACCAGAACGCAATAGTTAGCGTCACCGTCTCAATCGTGGCTCCACCCACCATGAGATAGTAATACTGATACCAGTGCCATCCACGACTGGTAATTAGAGAGGTAGCAGCCAGCGGTGCTAATGCCGCACCAAGGCCGTAGAAGCCATGGAGGATGCCCATCAACCTGCTGCTCTGTGCCATAACTCCAATCCAAGCATTCCATGCGGCATCAAGCACACCATTACCTAGTCCAGCCAACACAAAGAGGGAGACAAGGATTGGGTATGGCGGGTGTTGTGAACAGGCGACATAGGCAACTATATGACATGCCGATCCCAGAAGTGCAACGCCCCGCTGTCCAAAGTGCTCATGAGTCCAATTGCTGACTAGCGCAGCAGCAACGTACCCGACACAAGGGGAAAGAAAGACCACAGATACAGCGGCATAGTCTAATTCGTAGTAGTCACAAAGCTAGATCGCCAAAGTAGTCTTCGTCAGATGCTAGGCCGTATCGGAGAAGATTCCTAAAAGAGGGTAACGTACATAAGGGACGAGAGCCTGAAAGAAGAATGCGTTAGCGGGCTGAAAGACAGCTTTGGAACTTTACACGTACTCCATATGTGCCATCGTTCGCACCGACCACAATGAAGCAAAAGAAGGTAGCGAGCACCCGCCATGCCTGAATGACGGACTCGTTCCACCTCAGTTCACTATCAACGTCTCCCTGTGATCCTAGTGTCTGATCTGCGCCTGCTATAGGTTTCGCCACAGCCGATTGTAACAGTGGCGTTGTCGGATCATCTGAAGGAGGATTACGCGACATTCTGCTCGGCTCTTCTCGCAGGGGACATCAAGAGTATGCAAGGCGCGGGATCAAAAAAGTGACGGTGCCTGCAGGACGCAAAGATATCACAGTCACGGATAAGGTACTGCCAAGAGTGAGATATGCTCGAACTGGCATCATGGGGTATCTCGGAGTTGACATTTCTCCGAAGCCACAAGCCAATGAGGAATCTACAGCCGAATGCGGTGCGTAAATTCGGTACCATTCTTAGGGGAGACAACCTCTTTCGCGCGTTACAGTTGGGGGGGAGGCACGAGGCATGTGGGGCACATACCAAAGAACCATTTTGACAACCTGCCAACCAAAATAGTAACCTAGTGGTTGGCCCATAGAGAAGAGGGAAAGACGGATACAGCTAGTATGTAGAAGACATGCTCTAAGGATATTTCGTGCCAGTTATCCATGGAAGTACCTACGCACTAGCACCTCCCACACCATTCATCCCTATTTTATGAGCAGAAAAACGTTTATGCTTCGTTGCTCTTTCACTCATCACCCCTTGACTTCGCGTGCCTTTGCTGCCAATTTTGAACCTCATGGGCGAACGGTAAAGACATTGTGCTTCTTACGAGTTACATCTAGCGAATGGGTAAACAGGGGAAAGTCAGACTCCACCTACTTTCAGTTACATCGCAACGATCATTTGCTCATAATATGATATTATCATGCATACAGTCTCTTGATCGCTATCGGAATTTGTATGTTCTGTGCAGATGACATTTGCTGCTCCCGCTCTGTATTCTCTACACGACCCCACCGGGAAAAAAAAAAAAAAAAAGGGAAATTGGGGAGGTTCCGCTGGCTAGCAGATTACTGCTGTTGAAATGTGAAATGCAGTTCTAGAAGAGACACTACATGCTAGACCGGAAACTATGGCTCTAATTTACTAATTTGGCCCATTGCCTACATGATAGGGAAAGACGACAAATTGGAACTGTAGAGCTGCCGTAGTGCAGGAATCATTTCTTAATGCTCGCTGGTAGACTCTCCAGATTTTAGCGAAAATACACAAGCATAGGAGATCAGCGCCGACTAGATTAGATCTCGCTGTCTCGATACAAAATAGAGAAATAGACTGCAACCCAAGTGAAAAATGTCAGGGATGGAAATGCTTGGCGATTTGCGGCTAGCCTAAGCCGGCGCGGGCCGCGTGGTATCCGTTAGCTTCCGGTTGTTAGAGGTCATTCTCGCACAGCAGGTTAGGAAATGTGGCCTACTTTGGGAAGCATAGTAGAGTTGCAATTGTAACCTTACACTCGCAGCGGTGACGGTAAAAATGGATTCATTAGCCCCCAGTAAAACCAAGTAACTCGTATCATTACTGAAGCCACTTGTGACATTCACAGAGACGATCTGGTAAAGTCCCGAGCCCTGGCAAGACAGGTGGAAGAGGTCATTCTGAACATTGTAAGGTGGGCTAGATCTGGTTCTCGGGCCTGCATCCTTATCTATCTCAATTAGTGTATATTAGAGTGCAGGATTATTCACTGACACTAATTGAACCAGATATCTAGCGCCCGCAAGCGGAACGGACCTATAATGATAAGCACTGTAACCCCTACCGTTCATGACACCTGTCAAATGATATCATCTTTGAAATAATGCGTCTAACCGTCATCACAATCATGAAAATAGCACGGGTGGCTGCGGTGGGCATCTTTTGTCGTCCTAATTAATAAAAATGGGGTATCTTAGCCTGTGGTAGCTCAATCCCATTGCGATGCTGTCCAACATAGCTTATGCGCATAGGAAGGTTGATGTTTCCATCAGAACTTACGACTTTAATTCCAAATAAAAAAGGTTCTCCGTCGATTCGTCCCGTCACACCTTGTAATTTTGTATTGGCAAGTCTAGATCGGTCAACTCTGTTCATCCGGCCGAATGGCGTGCGGATGTCTCCGAGGTCTCTTATCACTCTAGCTGCTTCCGGGAACATGTAGTGCAAGTATCTAGAGATGATTAGACCGTTTCCGTTTGCAAAACAAGGTGAAAAGTCAACGCATCCATTGAAGGTCTAGATTCACACGATGCCACCCGTACACTACCTGGACGCGGACCTATTACGCTGACTTCTACTTAAAGATCCTTTGACTCACATCGCTAGATCAAAGGGAAGGTACATACAACTTCTCGGTTATAGTATTCAAGGTCTATTTTCTATCTCTTCTCACACCATGGGATCCCTCCAGGAAGACACATACCTATATCAAAGTGTCGCGGACAGTCGTCCTTGTCCCACAGTCAAGTCTGCTAAAGGCCTTTACTTTACTCTCGAAAATGGACAAAAGGTCCTAGATGCGACAGGCGGGGCTGCTGTTTCGGCTATTGGTCATGGCAACAAAGCTGTCGTAGATGCAATCGTTCGCCAACTGGCTGCGGTTACATACTGTCATCCTGGATATTTCCAGAATGCCCCTGCCCTTGAACTGGCGGACTGGCTGGTCAAGTCTACTGGCGGACAGCTGTCACGGGCCTGCATACTTGGATCCGGTTTGGCACTACTCTCCCATTGATACGTTAAAAGACCCTCGGGTGAAGCTAATCTCGGGGGGTACAGGCTCTGAAGCTGTCGAGGCAGCGCTTAAACTTGCGTACCAGTATTTTGCCGAACTGTCGCCAGGAACGCCACGACTAAACTTCATATCGCGACGAGGCTCTTGGCACGGCTGTACCATTGGCGCACTCTCCATTGGCGATATAAAGTCCAGAACGACGCTTTTTGAGCCTCTCTTACTGAAGAATGTGTCGAAGGTGTCTCCATGCCACCCTTGGCGAGATATGAAGGAAGGGGAAACTGCTGAAGAATACGTCACTCGCCTGAAACAGGAGCTGGAAGACGAATTCCAAAGGCTTGGTCCCGAAACCGTTTGTGCCTTTATCGTGGAGCCCATGGTCGGCACTGTAAGTCCGGCACTCCGGATCTTACACTTTGAATGCATCCTAATCATAGCATTCCTTACCAGGCCCTAGGTTGTGTTGCAGCGCTACCAGGATATCTACAAGCCATGAAGGAAGTCTGTCACCGCCATGGAGCCCTTCTAATCTTCGATGAGATTATGTGCGGGCTCGGCCGCACCGGCGCGCAGCATGCATGGCAGCACGATGGTGTTGTCCCGGACATTCAGACCGTGGGGAAGGTCCTCGGCGGAGGATACGCTCCGATCTCTGCGGTATTGGTTCACGACCGTGTTATTCGTGGCCTGAAAGAAGGCAGTGGGATGTTCGCTCACGCACAAACTTATCAGGCACAGCCCCTCACCTGCATTGCAGCGCTGGCCACTCAGCGCTATATTCAGGAAAATAACCTGGTCGAGAATGCTCGTTGCATGGGTGAATACCTTGGGGAGCAGCTCCAACTGCATCTTAGAGAGCACCCTCTCGTGGGAGACGTTCGAGGGCGAGGGCTGTTTTGGGCCGTTGAGATTGTGCAGGATAAAGGCACTAAGGCTCATTTCGATCCGAAACTGAACATTGCTAAGCGTATCCGGACTCGAGGACTTGAACCTGGCTATGACATTTGCATTTTCAGTGCCACTGGGGCTGCTGACGGTTGGAACGGCGACCAATTTCTTTTGGCCCCACCGTACACCGTTCAAAAGGAGGACGTCGATGAAATTGTGAAGCGTGTTGCCAAGGTGATGGACAGTGTGTGGAAGGACATCGAACCTGTCGTAAGAGCATAAGGAAGATATAATTATTATCTGATTCTAATTTCTCAATACTATTTTAATCATTCAGGAGCTAGCCAACACTTAAAACACTGACAAATCTGTGATAGTTGATATTATGCACTAACGTAATATTTCAATGGGCCATATACCAATCTAAGTTGTGTTCAGATAAACTAACTAGTGAGGCCCCGGACTATAGCCATAATAATCAAAAACTAGTTATAATCAAAATAAGATACTACTATCACATGGCCATTCAGGGTAGCTTAGATACCGGCGTTCAACCCCATGGTAACGTATCCCTTGGGTGGCTGTCGATAACTGGCCAATACACAACAATCATCACTATCCTGAAAAGCACGCATGGGGTTGAGCGTTGGCCTGAATGGCACTGGCATCACTCTATACCTAAATCGGGTCTTTGACAGCGCAAGTGAGCTAATCTCAAAGCCGCATCTCAGCTATGCAAGGGACACAACACTTCAGTATTTTATTTAACTAATAATGTGAATGTGCTATCTGCAGTGAAACATAACAAGAAAATGTAAAGACCAAGGGGCACAAGCAAGGACAACAAGCAATGAGTTATGATATTCTGACAATCTCATCACTCTCATTAGCCACTGCCATAGTCAACTGGAACACTATACGCTGGATCGTAGTGCATTTCCCAGTAACCGTCCCATATCTTCTTTGTGAAAGGGCCAACCTGGCCGTCATTGACTGGTTTACCATCAAGCGACGTGATAGGCATAATGCCACCAGCAGTCGTGCACATGAAGATTTCATCACTGTGATAAACCTGCTCCACTGGCACGACCTCAAGGCGGATGTCGATGTTCTTTGCTCGCGCAACGTCAATCACACTTTTACGTGTAATCCCTCGCAAGACACCTCGATCAGGAGTATAGAGAACCCCGTTCTTCACCAAGACAATGTTAAATCCGGATCCTTCAGTAAGGTTGGTGTCTCCATCGGTGAGGAAAGGGTACGTAGCGCCACGGTCCATCGCCTCAAAAAGTCCCTTTGTTAAGTCACCCCACTGTAAATTTTTGATCGTAGGATCAAATGCACCTGGGGGTGTCCGTCGCACAGTCCTTGTAATGACAGCACTGCCACCAAGGCGCTGCTTCTCAGGCTCCATCACCCAAATATATGGGAGAATAAGCAAGTATATATTGTTATTATATAGATCCTCGGGCTTCGAACCGCGCACACCTGTCAGACCACGTGTCACGATAACTTCCACAAACGCATCCCGAATACCGCTCTTGGCCACCATTTCAGCCAGAATATTTTTTACCGTAC